TTCAGTAGATCCAGACAGATAGAACAGCAGAATTTTTCTGGGTTCAGCTGATTTCTCTGCTCCTCCATTTCAGCTCTCAGAAACAACGACTGTCTGAGTTTCACTTCTTCATAAACTGAACCAGGGTGTGTGTAGTGAACAGCTGCTCCTCCTCCTATTGCTCCTCCTACCCTCATACTGCAGACCAGGTAGTATGTGGTCAGACTGGTCTGACTGTGATTCAACATGGAGGGTCATTACATGAGATTCATTCCAGGCGAAGGAGGAGCAGGAGTAAGAGAAGGAGGAGGTGCTCTGATTGGCTCTGGTTTTTCTTTGAATGAACAGAAGTTATATATATAAAATATGACATCAAGTCTTTTAGAAAGTCAGTAAAGTCATCAGTTAAATCATAGTGTTTAATTTAACATTTAATGTGTTTAATGGCAGATTTATTCATCAACAACTTCAACCTTATTTATTAACAAACAAATGCCTAAGAAACCCTCAGGTGGAGCCTGAGACCAGGTTAAACGGAGACACCTTTGGGTATGAAGGAGGTCCACCAGGGCCCCGGTCTTCCTGGACAAGAATCAAACTTGTTGTTTTCCCTTTTTTTTTCCAAATTGTCCATTGTTCGAAAATACTCAAGAGCACCATGGAGTCAGGCACCAGCATGGAGGGGCATCAGTAGACAAGGTCTGGAGGATCTGCAGACACGTGAAGAGACTAATGTTGGACCCTGGTGACAGGTGACGTCTTAATGTCATGTCAGAAGCCGCGGCCGTGGCACTCACGCTTCTCCTCAGAGCTGACACACACTCCACAACAGGTCAACACCATGGATGAACACCTGAGCAGAGTGCTGTCCTCCTCCGTGTCTGTCCTCCATCTTCATCCCATCTGTCATGGCTATCCCGTTGGTTGGTGATGCTCCATCTCAACCTGACCCCACCCACGGTCTGCTTTTTTTCAGACAGCCACACACACACACACACACAAAGAAAAGCTCATCAGAGAGGATCGGTCCCGGTCACTGCAGCCTGCTTCAGTGTTACTGACGCTAAAGTGGGTTTTGTCCAGGTGCCAGCAGAGATGGAGATTAATGACGCCGCCGTCTCCGTGTCTGCTGGTTAATAATGCTTATTCATCACTGTCGCCGACGATGCTGCTGCTGCAGCCAACACAGCTAACACAAACACAAACGAGAACAGAAGTCAATGGTACTTCAAGAGTAGGGAAGTCTTCTTACTTCGTACCCTCCACAGGTTAGCAAAGAAATGCTAGTTCAACACTAATTCTTAAAGAAAAAAAACCCCCAAACAAAACAATTATCTAATGCCCACCACATCTGTCCTCTTTATTTTCCCTAACAGTTGTGGGGTAACTCACTGCTAATCTCTACAATCTATTTTCTGGTGTGAAGCTAACTGTTGGCATACGTTTTCTGCTATGGTTAGGTTAGCAAGTGAGGCTAATGTCAGACCTTTTACTTATTCTCATGAAGTTAGTTAGGTTTATGATACACGTGTAACATTTTAGTATGAAATTAGGGGTTTTTTATATTAAATTTGGCTATTTTTTTGACAAACTATACTTGTGTTTTGGCTAAAATTTGTATTTTGTTCTAATTGTTAATTCTCGTTCTCAACTTTGGTTTCGCTGCTTCCACTCGCGTATACTCGAGTATTTGTCCAATCACATTTCAGTCTCACGCGTTGCTAGGGTTAGAGAAATCTTCCCTAAGGCCTTTAGAAACAGTGGCACCAATACCAAGACCTTCTGGCAGGTGTAAACTGACGTTGGTGATTAGCGTGGTTTTGATTGGATGGTCTAAGAACACAGTCTCCAAACTGGCTAGCAACAAGTAGCCGCGGGAATAAAGTTTTGTTTTCTGCGCCCGTTGCTTCTGACGAACCAACATTCTCTTCTTGAAATGAATTAAAACGTTTTTTTGTTTTCATTAACACGACAGGACAGACTGGACTTTCAACGTTAACGTGGATGGCGATAGAAAAAGTCGTTGTTAAAAACTGGAATTTACGGATAATCTGTTCAACTTGAACTCATCTTAAAGAAATGGGTTCAACGGCAGATTTATTCATCAACACAATGGTATGTTTATTTATATATATATTTATATTTATATTGGATTTGGCTAATTTTAGACAAATTATACTTGTTTCGGCTAAAATTTGTATTTTGTTCTAATTATTAATTCTCGTCCTCAACTTTGGTTTCGCTGCTTCCACTCGCGTATACTCGAGTATTTGTCCAATCACATTTCAGTCTCACGCGTTGCTAGGGTTAGAGAAATCTTCCCTAAGGCCTTTAGAAACAGTGGCACCAATACCAAGACCTTCTGGCAGGTGTAAACTGACGTTGGTGATTAGAGTGGTTTTGATTGGATGGTCTAAGAACACACAGTATCCAAACTGGCTAGCAACAAGTAGCCGCGGGAATAAAGTTTTGTTTTCTGCGCCCGTTGCTTCTGACGAACCAACATTCTCTTCTTGAAATGAATTAAAACGTTTTTTTGTTTTTATTAACACGACAGGACAGACTGGACTTTCAGCGTTAACGTGGATGGCGATAGAAAAAGTCGTTGTTAAAAACTGGAATTTACGGATAAACTGTTCAACTTGAACTCATCTTAAAGAAATTGGGTTGGAGGGTGGAACTAATCCGAAGTTTTGGTGAGTAAAATACGTATTGTCGTTCTAATAATAAAGTAATTTTACCATGTTGAAATTGATACTTTGTGGTGTATAAATACATTTATCGCAGCTATGGCAGAATTGTCTGTTGATTTTGGAAAAAAAGTATTTATTTTTATCTTGTTTTTTACCCTGATGTGAATGATGTGAGAATAATTGGCGATGTTAACAAGTTTTCTGTTCCTGCAGCCAGTGTGGTGTGCTCAGATTCGTGGAGTTTGTCTAAACTTATTTTTATGCTGTTTTCTGGGAAGAACGTTGCTGAGAGAAGATGAAAAAGAGGCTCGAAATGAGGAGAAACAACTGAATGAGGAGGAAAACATGGAACCTCTGGCCTTTGCTGCTGTGCTGGTAAAAACCATTCTGTCTTCAATGTTTCCTCGTGTGTGTGTGCGCATGTCCCTGTGTTGCTCTCCTCTGGATTTCTCCTGCTAATGGAAAATAAAGAGCTGAAAGTGGCAGAGTTGGTGGGGGCTGGTGGGGGGTGTTATCTCTAAATGAAAAACATAGAATCAGTGACCTGAGGCCAGGACCTGAAGAAGTCCAGAAACCTCTGTACTACTATCAAAATGTTTCAGAACATCAGGCAGCGATGACATTTATATATATATAAAAATTTCAAAGAATTTCAAGTTTATATATAAATATATATATCTTTTTCTTTTTTAAATCACAGCCTTTCCTGTGACAGTTTACACTACCCCTGAACTTGTGTTCAACAGTTCTATGGGGACTGAGGTCCATGTAGTGTGGTGGTCTTTAATGGTGCACTAGTACTGTACATAGTGGTTTAGCAGAATGCTGATTAGTGGAAACTAGGATTAAGATTAATCATTACAATCTCATGACATGAAGTGTTTTTTCTTTCCTTTTTTTTTTATTATCTTTTACTGTTTCCCAAGAGGATTTGCATCACACTGCAGCATCTGGAAGAGATTTGATAAAAATGTCCTTGTAAGACTTCAGTACCATCCTCCATTTTTCTGTTCATGAACACATCAGTCCTAATCAGCATCCCCCCCCCCCCCCCCGCTGTCAAAGATAAACTGATGGCATCCCTCTGAGGTTTCCAAATCATAACAATAAATATGAGAGAATAATAATGAACTGGACCTAAATTTAAAAGTTTTTCCCTCTACTACCTGAGCCAGTCTTTGTCATATTAAATAAATAAACTACTCTGCGAAGACTGGTCCAAACACCACCCACTGGTGGTGGGTATGTGTGTGAAGATTAAAGCCCGGTGTTGCAGCCCGGGGTGAGTGCAGATTAAAAAGTGATTATGAAGAGAATGAACATCGGTTCCCGGTGCTGTTCTTGTCACTCTGCAGCTGTGACTAATCTGGGTTCCAGGCACACGTTTTTCAGGGAGAAGCACAATCTGCTCTGTGTGTGATGTAACTGCAGCCGAACATGTTCTTTATCTTCAACCTGAGGGCTTCAGAGCCTCAGACCGCTTTCATCGCACGTGCTCAAAAAGCCTCGCTATCACAGTCATCACTTCAGTAATCACTGTTAAGAGTTAAATATATATTAACGTATATGTAAATTGAATCGACTCTTCTCACCACGTGGACGTTCACAGGCTTTTATTTCCTTCACTTTAACCACAGGTTTTTTTTTAAGGAGTGAAACCTGTGACTGTGGACTTTTTTTGATCTGTCCAACCTGTGGTCTGTGTCAACAGCAGCAGCAGCAGCAGCCCCCAGGTCTGATGCCCCAGACCTTCTCATCCTCCTGTTAAATGCTTCAGTGGGAGTCACAGGCCCCTCCATCACTCCCTCTCATTCTTTGATGGAGGCTGAAGGCACTCTCTTTGAGCTGGGACTCCCTGGGGTGAGGAGGCTGAACCAGTTCACACTGATATTACATCATGTTTCTGTGGAGGTGTTGGGGGTTACAGGCTCACCCTGGACCATCTGGACCAGTACCCTGCTGGATGACCCCCCCCCCCCCCCCCACTGTGTCCCCTGGGTCAGATTCAAGTGAAGGCTGGGAGTTGTTTTCGGATTGGAGGCCAAAGTCGTCTGCCCTCTGACATTTGACCTGCTCTGAAAAGAGGAAACATATAAACCCACATTTAACATCCGCTGAGGAAGAACGTTAGAACAGCAGAACGGTTCTGGGTGATATGAAGGAGTCGGGTCAGAGTCAGGCTGAGATGCTCTTCTTCTTATCCCTCTATTCAACCATTTCTGGCCAAAAAGGAAATGGGATTCAGCCTGACAAGGTCAGGACTGATTGGCTCTCCACTCAAACACAGACACACACACACAGACCGTGAACCTTCAGAAAGATTCTGCAAATCCCTTTGAATCCCCGCAGACTTTTTTGTCTGAGTCCATGGTGTTGGACTCTCTGCTCTGTCTTTATCCCTCACCTTTCTGCTGGAGGTGGAGAGTTGTGGCTGTGGGGGGGGGGGGGGGGGAGAGAAAATCCTGGCCAATGTGCCAGGTGATTGTCCTGCTTCTGCACAGCAGAGGTCTGAAGCCTGCTGCTGCTGCTGCTGCTGCTGCTGACCTTCAGCTGATAGGAATCCCAGGGTTGATCCTCCCACTGTTTAACCCTCATGGTTGCTGTAGAGGCTTCTGCTGAAACATGTCACTCCACAGGATCCAGACTTTTCATCCAAACAAACAAAGATCTGTTTTATCTTAGAAAAAGTGTCCTTCAAATAAAAACACATTTCTAAAAAAAAAAGAAGCTAAACTTACTAAACTTTAAATGTATTTGAACAATCCTGAAGTTGGACTCATTTCTGCTTTAATGTTTCCAGGTTTGGTTGATGGTCCAGGGTAGAGGATCCAGGCTGCAAACAGATTTGGACAGAACAGATGTACCTGGACAACAATAAGGTCAGTTCTTTTAAAAATACTCCATGTCTTCCACCAAAACGTTCATCTTTTCTTCAACTTTAACTCTTAAAAAAATCAAGACAGAGAAGGGCAAAAATAAGGAGGAAAAAACATTTCTGTTGTTCCTGACAAATGACCAAATGACATCCAAGGTCAAAGCACAGGCTGCAAACACTTTGTTCCCTGCCTTCTTTAAAAAGTGACAGCTTTCTCTTTCACTCATTGATCTTCTGAGGAAGGTCATCGTCAGACCTGAACCTGTTCAGTTTGATGCAGAGGAAGAGAGTGTTTCTGATTTTCATTGCATGTATTTAAATTATCTGGCATGTATGGGAGGAGGAAGAGGGAGGAGGAAGAGGGAGCTGGTGGGTGATGGCCGGGGGAGGGTAAATAAGCTTCAAAGCCCCGGCAGAAGCTTCAGACTTGACCCTTGACAAGTCATTAGCAGCACGACAGGCAGCATCTGAAGTCTCACACACACACACACACACACAGTTGGAAGTCAGTGTGATGACAGGGTGAAGTGCGTCTAACAAATGACTTTTTGTTTTAATCGCTGAAATATTTTGTAAAAATCTGATATTTTTTAGAAAAGGCGAAATAAAAAGATAATGTAAAACATACAGTATCTCACACACAGGTTAACCAGTAGCTAATGTGAAAATGAAACACCTTAGAATCTTAACTGAGACAGAGTTAAACGTATAAAAAAGTTAGCTTGAACAGCTAGGGATTAGCCATGAAGTAGCTAAAATGTTGGATGAGCCTAAACCTGACATAACTGTAAAAGAAAAAAAATCCTCTTTCTCTGGTGGTGGTTAATTTCTCCTGGTATCGTCAGGATTATTCTCCTCTGAATTAGCTCATGCTGGATTATCCTGCTCTGAAATGACGACACTGCATTTTCACTAACTCCATATTTCAAATGAGATTTCTGCTCCGAGCGGTGATACGTCTCCCCTGTTATTGTGGGCTGGTACATGTAGATCAGATAAACCTGATTGTTCACTGTATCTGCTGCGTTTGTGCTGAAATCCATCACCGCCGTCTTTTATCACGAGAGAGAATCAGGGGTTTATTACAGTCGCAGCGTTCCAGCTCCGTCCTATCACTTACTTCTTATCTGTGCGATCGTGTAATGACAAAACGCTGCGATGAAAAGCCCATAAGGTGTCGTGGCATGTCCGCCCTCCTGCCTCGCACCTCAGGCCCGGGCCATCATTCCCACAGACACAGACTCTCAGCTGCGTCCCATGATGGATAACTTGGCGGCAGATGTTTCAGGAAGTAGCTCATTGATAACCTCCCAGAGGAGCTCCCTGATTGGAGTTGGTCACCCTCACTCCCCCTTTACCATCCCAGCAGCCCATCCATCACCTGATGAAAGTGGAGGCTGTCCTCGCCTGTCGGTGTCCATGTGTTGATGGAATGGGTGATGATGAGATGTTGCTGATTTGATTGGTGCGTGGAAATCTGAGCAGGAGAGCATGATGGTGGATGGACTCAGGTGGAGGTGGAAAATATCAAGGCACTCTTGGATGGAGCTGGATGGTGTGTATACGTATACACACGTGTGTGTGTGTGCGTACATGTATATACACATACATATATGTGTATATACACAATATATTTCTGTGGGCTAAGTGACTTGTCTCCTAAAACAAACAGTCCTCACGGCCGACTCAAACCTCATCATTTGTATTTGCCTTAAACTGGACTTGATGTTGAAGTCACTTCTGCGCCTGTCGCCGTGGTGGTCCCTGCTTTTGTCTGCTGTCCCTTCATGACACCATTACAGCTGGACGTCCAATCCAAACAAGTTAATTAGCGGGGAGATAGCATCAGCACAAACGAGGCTAATGAAATAAACACTGTCCTGAAAAAAGAAGAGATTTAGCAATTAAGCTATCAGAGCATGGAGTCATTTATGTTGCCATTGTGTTGTCCTTTTATTTGTGGCAGAGTGATGAATGTGGCTGCAGCTTTATATAACTGTGTGTGTGTGTGTGTGTGTGGCTCTTTGATAATAATAACAACCCTCTCTTCACCGTGTGTTTACCAGCCTTTGTTTACTGAAGGACAGTAAAACACCCAGGGTCAGAAATGAACGTGGGCGGGAACAGAATTACCCTGAAATCACTGAAAATGCCCTGGTTGTTATGGAGGCTTTTAATGTCCCTGAAACTATTATTAATTCAAGCTGAGCTACAAAATGACAATCCCAGGCCTCATTAGCACACACGCCGCCCACACTGGTGTGGTAGGATTACTGATGGAAGTGCTCCACAATGCTATGCTAATAATAACTGAAGAGCTAAAAACTAAAGCGAGAGAAGTTAAAAAAAAAAGTCTCAGAAATAGGTGGAAGATAAATTTAAATGAAAGCTAAAAGTTAGTCATGAAGATTAAGTTGGTAAATACAGGAAAATATAACTAAGTTAGTAACTAAAGTTAGTAAGACCACGAAGATGTAGTAAAACCAGAATTTAACACAATAGCTAACAGTATAAGGAGATACGTTAGCCAGGGGGATGAAGCTAGTAGTTAGTAGCGTAGAGGTTAAAGTTGGAAAACGGGATGCTAGAAGTTAGCTAGGAAGATAAGGTTAGCCTAGAAATCAGGAAAGCCGTGGATTTTGGTCCAGAAATAAATGTGTGAGACGTGAGTTACAAAATAGTTGTGTATTGATGACGTTCATTAGCATCAAATGATCAAATCTATCAGGTTGCACCACAGTCCATCTGAACAGAAACAAATGAGGTTAGCTCATTTTGATTACATCGTGTGTGTGCACGTGTGTGCTAGTGCACGTGTGTGCTAGTGCACGTGTGCTCAGGTGTATGTAAGCCTGTGCAGCAGTAGTCGTCCTTCACCTCCTCCTCTTAAACAAAAGCCTATTGTGTGGCTTCAGCAGACTGACAGAACCAATAAAGTCTGAGCCACAGTGAACTGATCAAGGTGCTGCATCATGGCTCACAGCTCCTTCTCACATCTGCCATTAATTGCCTCCATCAGTGGCAGCCATTCTTCAGCTGGAGGAAAGTGAAGTCCTCGGCGGTGGAGGACACTCTCAGGGTTGGTGTCAAAGTGACGCCGTTTTGTCCACGTCACAGTGATGAGGGAAAACACAAAGATCTGTAGATCAGTGTTTGTCAGTGTTGAAGCTGTTAGATCAGAGTGACTTACAGTGTGTGTCGGCAAGAACCAGGTGATACGATACAGGGGCAACGACATAGTGACAGTATAGGCACAATATAACTGTAGTCAAACTGTCTGAACATCAGTTCCTAACTCTGGAACAGAAGGATCTACATTTGGAATCACTAGAGAAGAAAGAAAAGAACAAGAACATGAACCAACACCAGGAATATTGGACTGAGAATTGATGATGATAAAAAGTTATACAGTGCTGTAGAATATTGATATGGTATCATGAAACAAAATATTGCTGTATTTCAGTGTATCAGTATTTTCTTTCAGCCCTACAGTACGTCACAGTTCTAACAACCTCACCTTGGTGACAGAGTACGTCTGTTCTTCACTCAGTTTTTTAATCCAGTTTTAAACCTTTTCTTTCTTTTGTCACAGAGTAATCCTCCACCTGACTGTGATACGACCGAAATCCCTGACAATTCTATTGTGAAGGTAAGAGTTTGTCTGGTTTCTTAAAACAAATAACAAAATGAAGTAGTTAATTAGAGTTAATTGAGATAAATCATATTCAGGTTTGAATCAACGCACTGACAAACAGATGTTTTAAAAAATTTCATAATTAGCAGAATATCGCCATGGCAACCCCTGATGAGGGGCAGAAGCCAAACGTGATTCACTAGTAAAATCATTCTAACTTCTGAGCTTTTTTTTTTTTTTTTCTTACATTAACAATCTTACACTTTTGTGCATTATTGTATCATCAGCATGTTCTGGAAACGCCCATTTTCCAGCTCTTTTTGTCTGAACAAAGCCTGTGATTCACTGCATCAACTGAGTCTGTAATGTGTGTTTTTTTCCCACTCCTTCCTCCGTGTTTCTCTGTGTGAGTTTGTCGACGTTGCACAAATCCTCGCTTGATGCCAAGCTCGCACTAGTGCGTCGTTAAACTTCTCCCCTGAGCATCGGGATCAGGAAAGGGAAGATTTCTTTGGATGAATACGTATATTTTTAGTCTAAAAAAGTTCTTCACTCCCAGCAGTAAATTTGGACCAGTTTGCCTTCGGCACCGAGCAGCACTTTTCTGATTAATGACACTACTTTGTGAGGCCATCCCTGGAGCTAATACTCACTACAGCGAAGAGAGCGGGGCTTTAAACACTGCAGGAGAGCAGAAGCTCGGAGCAGGGAGGCTCTGCTGGAACCATGCAGCAGAGTCTTCATGTTGGTTTGTGGAGGAACACAGGGATATCCATACAGTGTTTGCCTCATGCCCCTGAGTCAGAGCTAAAAAGAGAAACTGTAGAACCTGGAACCCGAAGTAGCCAAAAATATTTTCACCTCTGCTCAATCTACGTTTAATTGACTTGGCCGAGGTTTGTTGTCGTGTTCCAAGGCTTCAACCAAATCAATTTTACAGAAGGCTACATTTTTCATTGGATTTAATGGAGGCAGCTGCAGCACAGAAGCATGATTTTTATATTAAAACTAAAGGAAAATAAAGGTACCAGCTGTACCAGGAACAGTCCCTGAGCTGAGAGAATTTGTTTATCTCATAAAAACTTCAGCAGCACAGGAGCAGAGCTGTGTCTGTGTCTCTCTCTCTTTGTCTTCCCGCACACTCTAGACACATACTGTGAAGTTCTCCCTCGTCCCAAAGGTTACGAAACTTTAATAACATTAGTCTGCAAAGGACCAAAGTATAAAAGAATTGGGTCTAGAGGCAGTCTGTACCAGGAGTGTTGTAGCTAACGTTAGCTCTGGTGTCTGTACAAGGACTGTCGTAGCTAACGTTAGCTCTGGTCTCTGTGCCAGGACTGTTGTAGCTAACGTTAGCTCTGGTGTCTGTCCCAGGACTGTTGTAGCTAACGTTAGCTCTGCTGTCTGTACCAGGACTGTTGTAGCTAATGTTAGCTCTGGTGTCTGTACCAGGACTGTCGTAGCCAACGTTAGCCCTGGTGTCTGTACCAGGACTGTCGTAGCTAACGGTAGCTCTGGTGTCTGTACCAGGACTGTCGTAGCCAACGTTAGCCCTGGTGTCTGTACCAGGACTGTTGTAGCTAACATTAGCTCTGGTGTCTGTACCAGGACTGTCGTAGCTAACGTTAGCTCTGGTCTCTGTGCCAGGACTGTTGTAGCTAACGTTAGCTCTGGGGTCTGTACCAGGACTGTTGTAGCTAACATTAGCTCTGGTGTCTGTACCAGGACTGTTATAGCTAACGTTAGCTCTGGTGTCTGTACAAGGACTGTCGTAGCTAACGTTAGCTCTGCTCTCTGTACCAGGACTGTTGTAGCTAACGTTAGCTCTGGGGTCTGTTGTGTATTCAAATATATCATATATATATATAAATACCCACGTTTCTTCCTATGACATGACATCATATTTATATATAAGCAGGGTTTCCACGATGTATGATAAAGAACAGCAGCCCACAGCTACTTCAGAACTGGGGCAGACTTACAATAATAGTCCTTCTATAACTGTTACTGTAGCCTAAATAATAAACATAGTAAAGTTAAAATTCTTGATCCCGTTGCTGTGCTGAGTATGTGGGAAAAAAAAAAAGAACTGCCAATGAGAGCAAGGGCTGTGGACGTCCATCAGGATGTTCCTCCTGCACAGACATTAAAGATGAAATGGACATTTAACAGAGTGAACAAAGAGGTGTCGGTGCATATCAGTCAGTGCTCTTCAGCAAGGCAGCTGAAATTAAGGGTTTAAAAATCTGAATTCTTCAGAACAAAGTAGCAGAAAAGACAAACCTAAAAAAAATCAGCAAGGGAAAAATAAAGAAATCATTTATATTTTACATATGTTTAGACTTGAATGTAGACATGGGTTAATAGATGTAGGACCAATAATTAGTTGGTAATCCTTTAGTTTTCTTTGCTTCTGTTAATGCTTAATTTGTGCGTCTTCTTCTGTGCTAATTAAGACCGGCTGCCAACTCTGATGGAACTGAGCCAATTCACTCGTGTATGGATTTAAATGTAGTGAGTGTGTGTGTGTGTGTGTGTGTGTGTAGTCGCTGTCAGTGTTTCAGACACTGTGAGTAAATTGAGTTACAGATCACGTGTGTGTGCGTGTCCACACTTGTGTTACCTTGGAAACAGATCACATTTCATACCGCTGCTGTCGTCACAGAAGGCCAGGCGCGTGTGTGTGTGCGCGTGTGTGTGTGTGATCTTTATTGTTCATGTTCTTCTTTTGTGTGTTTCTGTGTCGTAGCCACATTTGTCCCAAAGTTTTGGCTAATTCCTTTTGACTTCATCCATCTTTGAACCTTCTTTCTGTCTGTCTGGAGCTTAATGGTTTTTTAATAGCACTTCTGACATAACGTGCTCCAGACGTGGAAGACAAACGGCTGCTGCTGAAGCTAAGCTGCGTGTTTTACACCAGCACTGTGTAAATGTTTCTTATTTCAGATCATATTCAAATGAGGATTAGCTTGAAATGCTAACACTTGACCCTGGTTCTGACTCTACTGTTCCATTAATCTTCACACCTTAAACTGGGAGGATGCTGGTGACGTTATGTGGTTATTTTTTTTGTCTAAAGACTTGTGTGTGTGTGTGTGTGTGTGTGTGTGTGTGTGTGTAGTTCACAGTTGGTCTCATTTGCTCTTCAGTCGGTGAACGGACGAGTTCAGGATCAGAAAGTCTGATGTCAGCGTATGTTGAGCTGCTTCGTGTCGATTCCCTGGACAGAGGAGGCTCGGGGGCACACACACACACACACACACACCCAGACTAATGAACATGTTGTATGTTACGTTGTCGCGATGAGACGTCCCCATGGACGAATAAAGAGACTCCTGGACTCAAAGATGTGAACAAACACACACTCTCGTCCACATATCATCAAACCACCACAACTAGGGCAAATGTTCCACACTTTATTCTGCCTCGTTTGTGTTTTTTATTTTTTCCCCCATAAGAGATTGAAGTAAATTTGCGACCAAGGCGAGCGATTCATTAGCATAAAAGACGGCGGCAGCACGAGGGCTGGAGTCCACGGAGGACGTCTGTGTGACCGCTCTGGTGTTTAATCAGGTTTCTGACGGTGACGTGAAGGGAAGGTGGCGCCGTAGAGAGAGAGAGAGAGAGGGAGAGAGAGAGTGCAGGATCAGCAACAAGTGCATGTGCAGGAATGGAGGATGATTATCATGCAGCACAGCAGGAAGGCTCAGTGTGTGTGTGTGTGTTTGTGTGTGTGTTTGTGTGTGTGTTTGGATCTTCTGAAAGAAACACATAGATCAGAACTTCTGTTAACAAGCCTTTGCTATTGTTTGGTGAGAAGAGACGGTGTCGCCGTCCAAAATCTGCACGTCAGCTCTGAAAGAAGAGCTGTTTCGTTTTTCTTTTTTTTTTTTCTTTTTTTTACCTCCATATGGCCACAGGAGGAGCCAAACTACACCAGCCAAGTAACAACTACACTACACCGTCCCAGTTTAAGGAGGTTTGGCTGTGAGAGTGTGGAGCTTCTCTTCTCAGCCGATGGCCACCAATAATTACACACATGGTCACTGAGGTCAATAGGTCACGGTGTGAGTGTGTGTTTTTCATTGAACAAAATCATTTTTTTGTGTTCACTCCTGTGTAGATCATTGTACCTAAACAGTTCACCTGTAATTAATGTGGTTATTGTATGTTAACAATAATTATTCATTGATTGACAAATAGAGAAAATAAAGTTAGAGAAAACTAGTTAACATGAATAGACTAACTTTTAGACTAGATTTATATTGGAATGATTTTAATAATGAATCCTTTAATTACAACAGTAAAAGGTCAAGGAATGAAAATACATTCAAACATGAGATGAAAACATTTGAAAATACTGAAGAATGAGTCGTAAAGATTCTGGGAGTTAAAAATAATCATACAGAAAGATTCTCTGACCTTTCAGTCTGTGAAACACACACACACACACACACACACACCATGTGAACAGAAGATCACCAGCGTGTGTGGAGCAGGTTTGCTGACACCTAAAGGTCAGAGTTGGTGCAGGTTTGGAGGAACACGTGTGGTGAATGGCACCGGTGTTTCCTGTTGGTGACTTTGATAAGATGTGAAAAATGGATTGGAACAAAATGTATTTTTATAAGAAAGGAAACTTGTACAAATGAATATATCTTATATCTAGAGTTGAGGTGAGAACCAGCTGTAGTTCATCGTCATCCAATCACAGACTGACTCCATGTTGTTGAGATCAGGTCTGGTCATCGCAACAATGTTTGTTCGTCTCTGTCCTGATGAGGTTCTTAACAGGAATGATCTATTTTTGTTTTGGTAGTTGTACTGGAGCAGTTGTAGCTAACGTTAGCTCTGGTGTCTGTACC